CCAGGGGTACAGAAAAGAGAACAGTTTATAATTCATTAAAATAGTCTCCTATTCTTTTCCCCCCTTGGCTTTGCCATTAAAATCAATGTGGAACAAACAAACAAACAAACACTTAGGATGGGTCGGAAAAAAGATAAAAACATTATTTTAAAAACTTAGACTATTTGAAAAGGTTATTTGATCTAATAAGGAGAGAAATAATTTCATGGTAGTCTTCAAGTATACTACATGAGAAGTTATTTAGAAAACTGTTTTCATCTCTTCTAGATGACTTAGGAATGGGTCTGCATAAAAGTGGGTAGTGAATTAGATTTCCCAAGGACTCCCTAGGCAAGTTTAGTTCATAGCAATGTAATCTGTTTTAGTCCCTCTTCCTTTACAAGAAATTAGTACAGTGTCCATTGTAAATGGGCATTTATTAATTTTTTTATTATAAAACCAATTATTGACATTTTATAGAATATTCTTTTTATTCAGATTCCTAGAAAGCTTTTCCATGTTTATGATGTCAGAAATAGGTACACTTCTTTTATAACTCTAACTTTATGGGAAAAAAATTCATTCTTTTAAGTACTTAAAAAGATGAGGAATAGATCAAGTTCCTCAAATAATTGCCTTTTCCCCCCAGGCATTGATTAAAAATAAGACTGTGTAATGTATAGATTATCCTAATTATAATAGAAATAAGTGAGCAATTTTATATATCATTTGATTTTATCATGATATTCAACAACAAAATTTTATATTAAACTCATGAAACTGCTAATGAATACATCATCTTTTACAAATACAGATGTATTCAGAGAAAAGTAGACTAGAAAAGCCTATATCCCACCTCATCCCCCAAAACACACATACGCATGCACGCATGTGCACATGTACATTTTTGGAGGGGAGGGAGGGAAAAAAGTCACCCAAAATGTCCCAACTTTATTATTTGGTAGCAATTATTACCATTCCTTTTTGAAAGTAATAATTTGTGCCTAATGGTTGTGGCTTTTTTTTTTTTTTAAGATTTTTAAGTTATCTCTACACCCAATGTGGGGTGGAATTTATAAACCCAAGGTCAAGAATCCCCTGCTCTAGAGACTGAGCCAGCCTGGGGTCTCCCCCTTCCCTCCCACCCTCTCCCATTGGTTGTGGCTTTGAATGAAGTACTCTCCTGTCAGTTCAGGGCAGATTGCGAATTTCATCCCCCTCCTTTTTTTTTTTTTTTTTTATTTCTCTTGAGAGGCAACATAGTATTTTGAAGAGATGAAGTTCTTCAGTCAAACAGACACAGGTTTTCCACTCACTTCATGTATAATATTAGTAAACGGTTTAATTTTTAGAGCTTCCATTTTAACTACAGAGACAGAATGATTTCATACAGTTTTGTGATGAATAAATGTCTAAGGCAGCCATCATATATTGAGACCTATTCTGAGCTAGTCACATTAAAATCCCTTCATTATCATTAATCCTTATAACAGCACTGAGGGGTAAGAGTTATTCTAGACCCTATTTGATCCAAGAGTACATTGGTAAAATGTCTATTACAGGGTCCAGCTCAATAAATTGTGGTGGTGGTGATGGTAATCATCGTACTAGTCATTGTAGTTGCTGTTTTGACTATAGTCTTCTTACAGCTCTATGTTCCCAGTTTAACTGAAGAAATTTAAGGATGTAAAGAGGCAGCTAGTTTAGGGGACACAGGATTCAGACAGTCTGTCTCAGCATGGTCTGTGCCATTCAATATTACACCATATTGTGATGGTATTCTGAGATTTTAGATTTGCTAAATGCTTGTCACCATGCATAGAGGCATTTCATTCTTAATGGGACCCTATTTCCGAACTATATTTAAAAACAGTTTGGTGTTCATTTTCTTCTGAAATCATGCTGATATGTTACCTAAAAGGCACATTTGACCCTTAGCATATGGATTTCTATACACTTACATAAGGGAATCTTCTCAATGCCTTAGCTATCTACCTGGCTAATTCTTCAACTTAGTTTAGGTAGTTCTGGTTGCCTTGTTCTATGCATTGGGTTTGGTATAATAGCGTGTTCTCCATAAATTATATTTCTCAGGTGTAGTAACTGTATGGGCTATTTCTGTGCATCTTCCAAATGGCTCTTATTATTGCTAATGAAGATAATCTTAACATTTTAACTAATGATTCGTACAGTTTTACATCAGTCTTATTTTCATAAATCAAATTGTAGAAATAGAATATTACTATATAATTTATAATCACATTTCATGCCAATAGGTGTCAGCAATATAAATTCAACAGGATCTGTTACTTCATATTTATTTTTATCCTGAGCTTTGAATTTATTTGTAATTAATGAAAGGTTATGTTTCTACTTCAGGGAAATTTAAACTATAAAAGACAAGTTGGGGGGGGAACCACTGACACGTGATCCATTTTTCTGAATACTGTGTATACCTGAATGTATTAAAATTCTCAGAATACTACTTATAAGTATATTATTTAGTGGGAAATGCAGGTTATTTACTAGTTTTACTTTATGTTTATTAGATAAGCAGTTATGGATTGAGATTCCATAGAAAGCATAGCAGGGTACTGAGAATGGTGCCGGCCCTTAGGGATGCTGAAATATAATAGATTTCTAAGAAGTAACTAGCAGTTTTTGTTTGCTCAGAATTCAGCAAGTACATTTAAAGGTCTGATTCATTTGAAATGCTCTAAATTAAATTAGAAAGTAACCTTTAGCAAAATGTGTATCATCTACTTTGCAGACTTCTGTATGAAAGTTTTACATGTATAAGAACCACTTTACATGATGATATTTTTTTCCCCTTGTATTTCTCTTACAACTGTGAATACCCATGAAAATGAGCAACAGCATTAGTGTTACAGCTCGCCTTCAGAATATTCACTTAGTGCCAGCATGAGGTTTACACTGCCATTAAAACCACTGCAATTTTATAGTTTATGAAGCACTTCTTCAGACATTCTTCATCTTCACAGCAACCCAATGGGGAGGCCAAGTGTAGTAGGCATTGGTCATTTCTGCTGGCCCAGCACCCCAAGACCCTTCCCTCCTGGGGAGAGCCCTGTGATGAGATGGATGGAAGGTAGATAGAGCCCTGCCTCCCTCTCCCGAAGTTGAAGGAGAGCAGCCATTCTCCTGCCCTAATTTGGCAGCTCACAGGCTCCTCTGTGACTGAGGCTCAGCCAATGAGACAGCCCTGCCTGAGAGTTTTCCTGGAGATGAGCGAATCGGAGCTCTTGAGGAGGGACTGGGGCTCATTCCAGCCAAAGGGGTGGCAGGCAAGGGCTGTGTCCATGGCAATAGAATCAGCTGGGCTTTCAGAGTCTGGGACCACAAAGGCTACTTGCATGTTTGGACCAGACTCCTTTGTTTCAGCCCATTTTCCCCAAGATTTTTCAGCCTCTTCCCTCAACTAACCATCTCATTTCTTCTCAGCACATGCCTATAATGTTTAACTTAACTATAGTAGGTTTGGGTTATTGGCAACCCATAGGTATAACAAGAATCGCTATTCCCAATATAGAGATGAAGAAATTGAACCTCGGTGAGCTTAAGTCACTTCCTTGCATTGCAGTCGTCTGGAAAAGCCAAGTCTAGAACCCATGACTTCTAGTTCAGGGTTGTTTCTTTCACAGCACACTGTTTTCCCAGTGGCCTTCAGTGGCCTCTGCACATAGTGAGACGTGCTTCCTCCTCCTCTGTGCCTCCTTGATTGCAGTACTTAGTCCCATTTACAGTTCTAATGCTTACCTGCTTGATGTCAAGTGCGCCCATCTTCCACCCTACACTGTTGAACATCTGGAAGATAAGGATTGTTTTACAATCATCATTTTCTCTCAAATATATATTGGAGTGCCTGGGTGCAGAGTCAGTACTAAATAAAGATTGTAATGAATGAATAGCAAATGAGTGCATAAATTATTCAATTAAATGACAACACCAATGTGGGCTTGAAGTTGATGCTAAAAGTATAACACTGATTTTAGAAAACACCACTATGTTCTTTACCAATCAAATTTATAAACTATAAACAATTCACCTTAAATACATAAAGATGCTCACTTAGTAAGCATTTATTCCATGCCTTCTATGTGTCAGGCGGTTATTACAGAGAGAAGTAAGAATTCGTCTCCTCCTTTAAGAAGTCTCACAGACTGATGAGAGAAACAAACATTCCATAACTCAGATCATGGAGCTGTGGGGAAAAAAAGCTGTGATAATATGATGATTAGGGCAGCAGGCCCATTGTCAGCAGCCACTAACCTGGCCTGGTGATACCCCTCTGGGCAGGGTGCCGTGCACATCAAGGGAAACAGCCAGAGCCCTTTGAAAAGCACAATATGCTTTGCCTTTCCAGAATGTTATGAGATATGCTTAAAAAAAAAAAAAAAGCTACATGGGGCTCCTGGGTGGCTTAGTCAGTTAAACATCTGACTCTTGGTTTCTGCTCAGGTCACATCTAGGGTTCCTGAGATGGAGCCTTGCCTATCCAGCTCCATGCTCAGTAGGGCATCTGTTTTTCTCCCTCTTCCTCTGTCCCTCCCCTCTGCTCGCACACTTTCAATCTCTCTCCCAAATAAATAAATAAATAAATAAATCTTTTTAAAAAAAAGTTACCTGCACCCTCATTCAGACATAATTATCTTTAAAAAGGTTATAATCAAGGTTTATCAAATTTTAAAACTAATTTTGAAATTGCTTTCTACCATATGAGACTAATACATAAGACTATATTTTGGTTTGGCAAAAGGTGAGGATAAAGAGAAATCTATATCTTTATTTAAGCATTAAAGCCCAATATAGTAAAAGCAACAAATAAAGATATATATATATATAAATGTGAAAGGATTCAAAGTCATATATATGAATGTGTGTAAATACACACATATGTAAGAAACAGGATACATATTTGTCAATATAGTTTCCATTCTTTACAAATTATGCATGCAGTAAGAGAAATATTTTACTCCATAATGTTTTGGTATCATTTGCAGACAATTACTACGGCACGCCAAAGCCTCCAGCAGAACCAGCACCATTATTATTAAATGTGACAGACCAGATACTTCCGGGAGCCACTCCAAGTGCTGAAGGAAAACGGAAGAGGAATAAATCAGTGAGCAACATGGAGAAAGCAAGTATAGAGCCTCCTGAGGAGGAGGAGGAAGAAAGGCCTGTGGTCAATGGAAATGGAGTACTAGTAACACCAGGTTAGTCACATATATATGATTATATTTACCTTCAGAAAGAGAAGATTATGATATCAAATGGAAAGGATGTAATTCTCGTATCCCTTTTATTAGTTTTAATTTTGATGTATCAAGCAATTAATTCAAGTTCCTCAATTTTTGGTTTCACTTACACAGTATTAATGGCAATATAATGAATGGTTTCTACATCTTAGAAAATGTTACACGTCATGAATATGATTGTGTAAAGCTCTGGGGTCTTTGCTGATTAATATTAGGTAATATCTATCCTTAGAAATCTTAGTATACTTGCAGTTCTGTAAAAAGAGGTTGTGTCATGTGATTTAGTTAACAACTTCAGTGAACACAGTCCTCAGAATGACTGGAGCTACACCATGTCTGTATATTTTTCTCTCCACCCTTACCATCTAATCTGGCAATGTGGAGAAAGCACCTTTTTTGAAAATTTTTTTTATTGTTATGTTAATCACCATACATTACATCATTAGTTTTTGATGTAGTGTTCCATGATTCATTGTT